GGGGGCCACCACAGTGCAACATCCAAAACTTAGATGTTCAGCAGACATAGCAAAAGGGAGACTTGACATCTGATGGACACCATTTTTAAGGCCCCAGTGCAGAGAATAAAATGCCTTGAGACCCACACAGCTGCACACAGCCTCCCCTCACATCAGTCTTTTTTACCTGTATGAGTGCGAAGATGAGCCTTGAGGTGGGAGCTCTTGGTATACGTCTTCCCACAGTTGGGATGATTGCAGATGTGACTAGCAGGCCGCTTGCGGGGCCACTGTTTGTGTCCCTTCTTTGGCCTGGCTGTGACTTCTCTGGTAGGTGAAGGTGGTTTCCGGAAACCAAGGAGCGGCAGAGAATGGAAAGCAGAATCTGTCTGGTACATTTGAACTCGAGCTTGGTATGGGCCATGGGAGAAAGGGTGGTAACCATTCAGCAGACCACAGTGTGGCAGCTGGGAAGCCACTGCAGCTGGTGGAAGCTGATTGTAAGAAGCATGTTTGCTGAGCAAGGGAGGACTTGGGTGAACATAGGCTTCACAGGTTAAATGATAATACTGCCCATGAGATCTTTGTCTGGGCTCCCCAGGCTGCTGCCCTGCTGCAGCAAGAGCCACACAATCTCCCTGGGCAAAGAAGTGTGGCAACTGATTGTTGGAAAATACTAGACCCTTATTGGGGTCTATTATGTCCTGGGAATAACTGGGTAGGACTGGGGCACAGTTCACAGAGTTCTCTCCTGGCAGGAATTTGACTTCCAAGTTTGAGGGCCCAGGAACCTCCGGAACCTTGAGGCTTGCTGGGAGTTTCTCTCTGACTTCCTCCTGAACGGTCACTGTCTGACAGACAGCAGACACTGAGTTCTGTTCCTCTTGGTCAACTTGAGAAAGTCCAGCATTTTGCCCTGAGGTAGAAAAATTTCTTAGGAGAAAGTCAAGGTCCCAATAGGCTTCCTCATGCTCCTGCTTGACTTGCTGGACCCCCTCAGGTTGGTTCGACTCTAAAAACTCCAGAGATGGAGTTTCAGGGCAGTCTTCTGTCTTCCACCACTAGAAAGCAAGTAAATAGCTCATGAAATAAATTCATCAGGTTGTAGGTGTGAACTACAGTTAGAAGCTAGAAAAAGACACCAGGCTCTTGTAGACTTGTTGCAGTAAATGTCTTCTTTCACTAAAGACAGAAGGAGGTTACAAAAGCTGTGATGGATGAGCTTCAGAAGTTAGGGTAGGCACGGGCTGGAGCCTGCCATTAAGGTAAAGATAAGGAGCCCGCTATCGCAAGGCTGCACAAGTTTCTGCCCTGCAATTGGGAGAGGCAGGATACAAGTTATCTCACAGGCCCTCAGAAACAGGCAACAGAAGCATTCACTACTCAAGAGGCTTTTTGAGGCTGGCTCCTGGACAGCATCCTATGATTATTCTATCCTAGACTCTCAAGGTCTACAGATTAGAATAGCAGAAAAGAAACTTGAGCTACATTTCCAAAACAACCTTCTTCTAAAACACACACTTTCTTCTAAAAAAACCCTTCTTACCCTGCTGCTTGGTCCTCATATTCTAGCACTGATATCTTTTGAAGAAACAACTATGTATCATCCCAAGGTGAGCCTCTGTACTGTATTTAATTCATCCTTACAATAAAATTTTTATAATCTGTATTATAGCAGGGCAATCAATGCAAAAACAGCAGCTTTTTCCATTTGTTCTTCACAACTGGATCTGCTATGTAGATATGGCATCTTAACTGCTCGTATTCAGACTCCGAGCTGCAACTACAAAATGCCCAACCTTTTAACTTTAACAGGGTCCCTGACCACCATTTTCTGCAATTATAAGATGCTACCAAGGAGAAATTAGGAACCCTAGGCACTGTGCTATAAATGCAGATAATAAAATACTAGGGAAACTAAATATTAAAAACTAATTGACAAGTCTATAAAGCTATTTGGCGAATAAAAACTCACAAATAAAATAAAACTTAGTCATATTTAAATGCCAAATATTAAGCTGCTGAACAAGTATGTATGTGCACACTTATAACTATTAGGACCAACAATTGGTAAAATACAAAGAGGACTAAAAAATAAAATATAAAGGACATTTACATAGGAAGAAAACAATTAGTAGGGCCCCAAAAGTTAAAGTAGCACTTTCCTGTGTGAAGCAATGCCAGCCAAAAGAAATTGTGCAACTCCTCTAGGGATGCTAGGGTTCCTCTCCAGTAAGAAGCAAATGTAGAACTAAGGATACATTCATAAGTAGAATTATAAGGGCAGGGTGCAAGATGCTATAGAAAGAAATCTAAGAAAAATCCTAGCTAGAGTTTCAGGTTCCTCCAGGTCAGAGAGGCAAATTCCCTCTCAAAAAGGGATGTCCAGCCTAGTTTTTAAATGCCTTATTTCCCTCTCTGCCGGAAGATGAATTCTGCACACACACACAACATTCTACTGGACCTAAAATAGATTTATCACTCTATGAACCCACTACATTTTAAAAATTATTTCTTTATTAATAGCAAGGTTACTGTACAAGAGCATAACCAAATGTATGCAGTTTATAATATAATACTTCAATTAAGGTATAGCAACTATAACTCATTGGCTCCTGCTTGGAATCTGGCCATTTTAGCTACACAGCAGCTACATTTTTTTTCCTCTGACTTCTGCTTTCCTGGTGCAACAAGATTCCTTCTCACTCCCTACTAGAACCTTAATCCCCCCACAATTAAAAGTCGACAGGTGATAATTGCTTACAGTTTAGGCAAACATAATAAATGATGTCTCCCCTCCCCCTATATAATTTGTTCTAGTCATAAAATGTGAAGAAACTGACTTTAAAAATAAGCTATGATGTCTAATCAATATAAGACTACATAGACCACTGAAGCTGTGCATGAACTACAAGCTAGAATGATAGATGAACTCAGCTCCTGCAGTTACTGGTTTAGTCAGTGTGAGGTTTAAACCCATAACACTGTATTTGATTAAAAACGTGGTTTAGTGAACCATGAATTGTGTCCTGCAAGCAGTAAATACGGAGAATGGGAGAAGGGCCACTTTGCTCTTTCACTTTGGTTGCAGAATTATATCAACAGTCCCGATAACCCCCAGCCCCCAAAAGATCTCAGGGAAGTTCTTTCTTAGAAGAATTATATCCACCGATTCTACCCACTGAATAGATTTTAGCTCTGATTAGTTTTGTGGGCTCTTATTTACCAGGCATGCACGCATACATCTCTTAATTTAAGGAGGGAAAAACCTCTTAAAATTGCATGCCATTCTCTCTCCCAGGCAAGCCTATCATCATGAAATATTTTCTAAACACGCAAACGTTCTACACATTTTTTGCATTTAAGTTTGAACAAGCACAAGCACGCCAAAATTACCAACCGCTATTTATTTGTCTATTTAATTAGTATGATAGCCTGCCTTTCCTCGACAAACGAGCGACAAACGATGCCCTGAAGACTCTGTTCTGCTATTCACTCCGTATCGGGGTAAGACCAAGAATACCTCCTAGTTTCTTTCCACCATCTGGCATGGGGAACTCCTAAAATTCAAGGGCTTAGAAAGCAATACCTTGCCGCGCCTATTCGGAAAGGAACCTTGATAACGGTAAGAAAGCGCCTGGGGCCAGCTCGGAACCCATGCTTATTAACTCCTTGTCTCCCTTCGGAAGTTTTTAATTCTCACCATTCTGCACAGCCAAGTAACGACCCAGAAGCCACCGCCAGCCAGCCAGCCAGGCATGCAGCCAGCGCCCGCCCCACTCCTCACCTGGAAAACTTCGGATTGTATCTCCTGGAAGTGGTTGAAGCCCCTCAGGATACCAGCCGAGGGCAACACAGTCTCCACAAAAGCCATGGCCTATAAAGAGCAATATCCCTAAAAGACAAGAAAGAAAATTAATAACAAGGTAGCATCATACCTCTTGAAGCTTTGCTTGCTCCTACTTCTCGGTTCTTCTTATTTATATCCACAGACTTCGCTTTTACTCTCTCACCCAAACATCACCCCTCCCTTCCCCTGTTTAAGAGCAAACTTTTCTGCTTTAGGTCTTGCCATTAATATTTTTCTCCTTTTAATTCTTTCCTTCATTTGCCAGTTTGAAGGAGAGAGAAGAATAAATGGAGCCAACTAAACCAATCAGAAGAAGGGGGTGTGGCCAGTGAAGGAACAAGTTGGAACCCTATTAGGCTTAATCGTGGTCGGCTTGTTTGCCCCCCATTTATTAGTTACTTTCTTTAGCTAAGGGGGATAGGGATGAATTCACAATCCAGTCCATAATCGTGTTTAGTCAGAAGGAAATAGCATTATTACTAATGAAGTATTAAACTTATTAGGCCAACTGTTACCTACTGAAGGGAGTAAAGTGGATCAAATAGTTCTAATCTGGAGTATTGTTGAAGTCAAAACATAGATCCAACTATAATTATATTAAATGTCATGTTATAAAGTGTAAGAACTAAATGAAGGGATCTAATTTTTTTTCCCAGCGTTATTGGTAAAATACATTTTTCATAAACTAGAATCCATTTATGGGGGGTGAGAGGTTGTTAGGTTTTAAATTTTACTTTTCAGATACCAATCAGGGACTAACCTGCAGTTGTATATATCTACTCAGAAGTAAACTGTACTAAATTTAGTGGGATTATATTCTAATAAATGGTTATATGATTGCATCTGAAAGCCCTTTAAGAGTCTGTGGAATGTATAATGCAATTGTAAAAAATATACCCCTAAAAGGCCCCACTGACTTCCATGGGCTCTAGTCACAGAAAGGTCTTGGTAAATAAAGTTAAAGCTTTGGGATGCCTCTAAGAAAAATATCTGCAGGGAGGGAAACACCAGCTTTACACATGCAAATTTAAAGTAGCCTGGCTTCTCAATGAGTTTTGAAAAAAATGTTCCCTCACCCTCCAACTCAAAATACCATCAGGCTAAGGTCATGACTGAAAGTGAACCTTGGATCTTCCTTCCCAAAGGCAAAGTGTAAAATAGTACTCTCCTCTGGGGTTTATTTAGATTCCTTGTTTTTTCCCCACTGTCCACCCTTTGAGGGCTGGGACCTGTTCACTGTCCTTGCCAAAGTAAATAATAAAAAATCATCACAAGTTTTGCTGTTTTGAAAAGAAAAAAAAGATCAAAACTCTACCTGTTCAATCAAACCTTCAAGTTATAAACCCACATTTAGTACAGGGTACATTAAAAGCTATGCAGTTCCAGGAATAAGAATTTGGTATTTTGAGAACTCCCTAGTTCAGAGCAGAGGGACCTGTTTCAGCTGGCAGATAAGAGGAGACCAGGGCAGCACAGATACCATAATCCACTGGCCTAATTCCAATATTGTACTAGGGAGTTATTTAATTAAAATTGATTAAACTAACCATGGCTTAATATAATGTATGAACCCAGTCTCTGGCAGCTTTCACACGACACAGTAAGCCATCATTTAACTATGATTCCTCATGTCATGTGAGATGGGTGAGTTTGACTCTTAAGCAAGTACCTGGCTTCAAATCATACATTGAGTTAGTGCATTATTAAATATTGCTTTCTGCTGTACCACTGGCAATGATGAGATGGAATTAACCACAGACCCCACAGGAAGAAAATAGGGTTTGAGTGTATCACTGGTTATTTTTAAGAAAGTTTAATTATAGGTTACTTTAAGAAGGAACAAGATAGCAAAAAATATGGCATGGCTGGGTGGGGCTTCATATAACAAGTTCACATACAGATAAAAGGACAGCATGAACCCACCTCAGGAACTGTCTTGAGCTTGTTAGAGGTACAAATGAATACAAATGTGATTTTTAAAAGAGCAACATTCATAATATAGAAGACAATACAGTAATGTCTAAATAATAAAAATGCATACCCCATTGATTATAAGCAAAATGAGCAACCTTCTTGGGTCATATTGTGGGCACTGTCATAAAAAGGTTGCCACGGGAGGGGGATTTTTATTTGCAAAATCTCTACCATGATAAGGGTCATAATCACAAAACACCCATTTCCCGGTAGCCAACTGGTGAGTTGTTTTCTACTGCTTCCCTTTGAAGCTGCTAGTGCTTCCTACCTCCCCAGTTTAGTTTTGTCATTTTTCTGGATAGATTGCAAGTCACCTACCATATTAAGTTTTCAAGAAAACCCAGCACCTAGAGAGTTAATAAAACTAAACAGACCTGGAGTTAATAAGTGGATGGGACCCCACCAGGAAATAGTAAGTCTATAGAATTGACTTGAAAGTCAAATAAACCTCCCAAAAGATGGCAGTGGTAAACCTCTTGCATACTGCTGTCTTGTAGGAAATGAGAGGGACACGGCCCTTGCAGGAGCTGAGTTCAGCTCAAAGACAACTTTACGTTTGTGTGTGTGTGGCAGGTTCTTTATAGGCAATAGGGGCATCCTTGGTTAATTTGGCACACTGCTTCACAGCATGCCCATTTTGCCTTTATTTTAATGAAAAGAAGCATTAAATTAACTTGAAGCGGAGAGTCTGGCCAGCACAAAAGGAAATATTCAGAGGCATCATTTGCCTGTTTCTGCTCTGGTTCTCCAAGGTGACTACTTTGTCTTACTATTTCCTGCCTAGACTCCAGAGCTGCCTTCCCCAATCTGGCACTTTTGCCTTGTATTGGACTCCAACACCTATGACCCTCAGCCAGGGTGACCATTTACCGTACCTATGTAGCTTTATTACTTTTCATGTGTTAAGGTCTTTACAAAAGGGTTGCTTCATTTCATTCATACGTGGAGAGCGACTCCCAACATATGAGTATATGATCGTAATCCCTGTTCACATATGGGGAATGGAAACAGAGATAATGCTTCCATGACTAAGCATGCACTTGTAAGAAGCCCTCGGCTCTTCTGATGTGGTGTGTTTGCTTGGCTCTAATGACACTGGAAAGCAAATGGCGGAGTCCTCCAGAAGTGTGTGGATAGGTCAGCTGTGGACTACCCTCTTCCTCTTGCCTCCCTCGATTAGGCCAGCCTCCAGCTGACATTTTGTGCTTGTCCCATGGGCTGGAACTGGGCTCTGCGAAGAGCAGCAGGCAGCTTTCAGCTGGGGAAAAGCATGAATGCAGATTAACAGCTTGCCCCGGCTTTGTATCAGGAGGTCTCAGCGGGGACTGGCAGCAGGCTCTTTTCTGATACAGTGTTGAGGGCCAACACGGTCTGGCCACTGAGAGGAGAGACTCTCTGAAAAGAGACCTGCGCTGGCTACAACATTGGAACTGGGATATCTTCTCTCTCTCTCTCTCTCTCTCTCTCTCAAACCTTGCTAATGAGATTGAGAAGGAAAATCAATCAAGGGTAGGAAGAGAGAAGGTCTTAAGGCAGACTAGCAAACTAATGTGATTCGTTTATGATTTTGTATGAACTCAGAAGCATGCAGGAATTGACCAAACTATGTTTAAGTAAGAGTAAGCATGGGTAAGCAAGCTCTATGAACACAGACAGCAATTGTATGATGGAGAAAAGTCCCAAACTTACACACACACCCAGTGAATTCTGTGTCTTTAATTGTTTTCATGGCATAAAATAAATGAACAGGTGACATGCAGTATCCAATTGCTGGTCTTTTATAATGAGAAAAGCTGCAGCTGCTAAAATGTGGTCTGCCATGATAATGTTGAAAGCTCAAACTGGGGATGGGGAGATGAAGGGAAGGAGTGTTTATTTTATACAAGGTAAAAGTATAATGCTGACACCTTTCCTCCTTGGGTATGTTGATTTGCCAGACTGTGAGAAAGGAGAAATTTAGATTTTAAGAAACATTACCTGAGAAATACATTATTAAGAATATGGAACAAATATAAGGCTAGACTTTGCCCAAAGAGATCATTGCTGACATCCACTCAAAAACCTTTTTGCAGAAGAGAAACAGCAGAGAAAGACTGATGGTTAACATATGAGGATTTATTAATACAAGATAAGGGAGAAATTAAGATGAAGATAAGGGAACAATTAGCAACAGAAGGATGCTCTTTTGAATAGTTTTCTAATCAGATGAAAGAGAGGTTTAATATGGATAAAAGGACAGTTGGAAGAACAAAACTGAATTTGAAATAGAATGATGTACAAATGATCATATAATAGCTAAAATGTACAAATTGTTACTAAGGTTTGAAACAGGAAGAACAGATAAAAGACTGGTGAAATGGGCTGCAAATTTTGGTTACAATATAAACATGGATATATGGGAGAAAATATTGGGAACTGGTATTAAATTTACATTGTGTTATAGTTAAGAGAAACTTTTATAAAATGATGTTCCAATGGTATATGACACTGGCTAAATTGTCTAAAATGTATAAAGGAATATCAAATCAGTGTTGGAAGTGTGAAAAGGAAGAGGGGACTTTCTATCATACATGGTTGACTTGTGAAAAAGCAAAGAAATTTTGAGTACAAATCTATACAATGATGCAAAAGATATTACAGACTAATATCACGTTGAAACCAGAATTATTCTTACGGGGTTTTATGGACAAAGAAAAGAAATATAGGAAATTAATATTGTATATGGTAACTGTGGAAGATTATTGTATGCAAAAAGTTGGAAGAGCAATGAAATGCCTACAGTGGAAGATTGGATAAAAAAAATAACTGAATTTGCAGAAATAGCAAAGCTGACCAGTTTTGCTGACCAGTCAGAGAAAAAAGGATAAAGACTTTTTTAAAAGACTGGAACCCTTATATGGACTTTTTGCTGAAAGAAGAAAAAAATGAATAGATGATTTCAGGATCTGGGGATTAAAAATGAGATGAAGAGATTGAAGGAAAGTTTAAGATGACAATTACTCAATAGAAAGAAGGGTAGAAGGCACAATTGTATGTTTTTTCTTTTTTTAATTTCTTTTTTGTTTCTCTTATTTTCTATCTGTGTTCTTGTTTGTTTTGTATATTTTATAGCATTGAAGATTTCTAATTAACAATATAAAAAAAATTGTGCACAGATGACTGATCTGTACAAATGGCATTGTTTTATGTATTGTACGAGATATGCATATCTCTAAAAATATCTGCAGGATACCCTGCTTTTCTTTTGCTTATCATGATTTC